CTAACCTCCCACCCCATCCCCTGTCCCTGTTCCCCCCCAGCGTCCTGAGCTCCCCTTACCCACACCCTATCACCTGCCTCTACCCTCCTCTACCCTGTCTTTCTGTTACCCCCTAAACCCATTACCTGATTGCCTGCACATTGTCCCTGGCCCTCGTGTTGCCCCAACCTCCTGAGCCCGTTACCTCCATTATCCCATTGCCTGCCCCTCATTATGCCCTGACTCCCGTTACTCTGTTTTCCTGTTACCTCTGGCCTCTCTTATCCTGTTACCCCCAAACCCCTGTTGCCTTGTCCTCGAGTTACTCCCATCCCCCTGAATCTGCATCCTGTGGGGCCACCACAATCCCTTTCTTACCCCATCACTTGGCCCCCCGCCCGTTACCTCCATTATCCCATTGCCTGCCCCTCATTATGCCCTGACTCCCGTTACTCTGTTTTCCTGTTACCTCTGGCCTCTCTTATCCTGTTACCCCCAAACCCCTGTTGCCTTGTCCTCGAGTTACTCCCATCCCCCTGAATCTGCATCCTGTGGGGCCACCACAATCCCTTTCTTACCCCATCACTTGGCCCCCCCCATGCCCCTGTTACTCTGTTACCCCCACCGTCCCAGTCCCCCTGCCTCTGGTGTCCCTGTTGCCCTCTGCCCCATTGCCCTCCTGTGTGACTCATGTCCCTTCTCCCTTCCAGTTCTCTGGACTCTGCACCCCCCAGAGGAACCTCGGGAGCATCCGGAATGTCAGCTTCCCCAGCGTAGGTAAGGGCCTGGCTGGGGTAGCAACTTCCGTGAGCGCTGGCCTCGTGACTGGGGACCCGCTCCATGGCTCCGCCTGTCCCACGGCAGGTCAGTCAGAGGAAAGGGTCTGGCTTTGCTTTCCCCTGGGTTCCCAGTCAGGGCAGTGACCACTTGTGTAACCAAACCCTGGGAAAGCCAATGCAGAGTAAAACTGAATTGAAAGCAGAACAGCCGGTTTTGAATTCCGGCCCGTGTGCTGAGTCGACTATCTGACAAGCATTTGCTTATCGGATAGTATTTTGACTAGTCGATATCCCCTCCTTTGCTGCCTCTATAAGATAGAGGCAGCGAAGGGGAGGGAGGGGTACTTGGTGCTGCCACTTTGAAACCCCCAGGCAGCTTTTCAAAGGGGCAGCTCCAGCACAGCTGATCCGTGGATCAGCTGTGTGGCAGCTGCCTCTTTAAAATGCCGCCTGTGCACCTTTCAAAGGGGCAGCCGTGGAGCCCGGGAACAGCTGGGGAGTCCCAGCTGACCCCTGGTCCACTGCCCCTTTAAAACGGGCAGAAGCAGCAGTTTCAAAGGGAAGCAGCCGCACAGCTGACCCTGGGCTCTGCGCAGCATTTCCCTGAAAACCAGGGTCACGGGACTCCCCAGTTGATCCCGGCTTCCGGGGAATCGCTGCAGGGAGTCTGGGGTCAGCTGGGGAGTTGACATGCATCTGACGAAGTGGGTCTTTGCCCATGAAAGCTTATGCTGCAACACTTCGGTTAGTCTGTAAGGTGCCACAGGACTCCTCGCCGCTTTTGCAGATTCAGACTAACACGGCTACCCCGCTGATACTCGTTACTAAGGGATAGTTAATCCGAATAATGTCCTGTGTAGACTGCCCCAACAGTGTCCATATAGTGAGGAGTAGCTGATCCTGCTCTTTGGATTTGGCTCCTCGTAGACCTTCCACTTCTTGGCAGTGTAAATAGCCTGGCCCACTCTGCAGACGTTCAGCTGATTGCCACATTGTCTGTGCTGTTCCTTAGGTTGGGAACAGCCTTTTCAGAAGCTCAGTCTCTTCTGCGGTAACCGCATCTCTTGAGCTCCACCAGGCGCATCTCCATTCTTGTCCTGTGGACAGTGCATTCTCTCTGACATGCCATCTGGTGCCTGCTTGTTCAGTTCCGTGTTTCTTGTGTGAGGCCTGGTTATTTGCACCACAGCGGTGTGGAGGCAGGGAAAGGGGATTTGTGTGCAGCCACAAGAGTCAGGCTAAGTCTGTGGCCAGACAGCGCGAGAACTGTAAGAAGCGCTGCCTTCACCTCTCGCCTCCATACGGAGATAAGGATGGAATGCTGACTCCATGAGAACCTTGAGATAAAGTAGCATCTGGGAGGAACTAAGAGATAATTGTTAGCCATTGTTGTATGTAATGGGAAAGTATATATATTGCTGCTTTTATTGTTTGTATTCGAAGATCTGTATGAGGAAGGGGGAGGCCACCCTCCCTGTCCGGCTGCAGTCTTCCCTTGCAATTGCTAGTAAAATAAACTGACTCTGACTTGTTGCTTGCAAACGCAGAGTGAGGACTTTCCACAGTGGTAATGTCTGCGTCCTCTCACCTTTCATCAGGTGACTCAGACCCTGCCCTTTGCATTTGATCCTCTATAAGCCACTCTGAAGTGCCCCTGTCTTTTGGTTTGATTTCCCCATATTTATGTTTCTAATTTGTTCATGTAACCATGGGTATTTTCAGTAGGTGTACAACTGTAACCCTTTCGTGCATCTCACTATGCTCTTGGTCTAGGGCAGTGACACTTGTGGCAGAGGGTTCTAACAGGTTATGTACTGTGTAAAAATGATCTCCTTCTCCAAATTTCAGTTCATTCTCTTTCAGTTTCATGGGCTGTCCTATTTTCTCTCTCTCTCTCCGTATTAGAACAAAAGAAGTGCTTTTATCTACTCTGTGCCCTAGTCTATAAATTCGTTGTTGCCCTCTTCTTTGTCTGTTTTCTAAAAGAAGTGTCCTGCCCATTTCCGTGTGTCATATGCAAATCTTTCCATTTTCTTTGTTTTTTCAAAGTGTATTATCTATGAGAAGTCCTGTGGCACCTTATAGACTAACAGATTTATTCGAGCATATAGTCTGTGCTGACTTCTGAGTGGCTGTATCTTTTAAAATCTTGGCTTGCGAATAATTGTTGGCTATCCAACAATCAGTGTGGCACATATCATGTGTTGTTTTAAAAATGGATGTATTCTATTGTATGCTTGTACATTCAATGTAAGTTTTGTGATTTTCTTTCCTTAAGGGAAAAAATATGCAAATTATGGAGAAGAGGAGGATAAGGAAGACGATAAAGGTGGGATCACACAACTTTTTTTTAATTGTATCCTTTGGTATATATGGCTGTGACAATTTTCTTCCACTATTTGATCTGAGGAAGTGGGTCTGGCCCACGAAAGCTCATCACCTAATAAACCATCTTGTTAGTCTTTAAAGTGCTACATAGTCCTGTTTTTTGTTACAGCTTTTTCAGGCTCTACTTGATTAAAGGGCCACTGCCAAATCTATGTAGTTTAGAATTAGAATCTTCTGGCTGTGTTTTGGCTTTGTGGATGTGTGTACAATGACTCCACTTGTCCCTGGGAATAACTGGGCAGTTATTCAATAAAACATACAAGAGCTCTGCATTCTCAGTCCTTCAGGTGACAGGGTTCTTGTTTTTTTGATTTGGTGTTTGCTCCCATTCGTAATATGTCTGGAAAGAGTAGTGCGGTGTGGTAATGAATAAACCAGTGTTAGTCACATATGGTGTTATCAAACTATTAAAAAATTACAGTCGTGAGATTTAAATAGTCAGAAACAATCACAATTTGAATCACACTTAAATAATAATAGAATATCAGTTTAAATTTAGCATGGAGGCATGCAGTAAAATATCTGGCACATAAATACCTTGCAATGTTGGCTACAACAGTGCCATACAAGCATCTGTTTTCACTTTCAGATGACTTGGTAAATAAGAACTGAAGGGCATCATCTCCTGTAAATGTAAACGAGCTCCATTGTCTCTACAGGAAGGAGGACTGAATGGACTTATAGTCTCTCAAGTATTACAACATTTTGCTTTTAAATAGCATTATGTTAAAAAAGTCTACATTTGTAAGTTGCGTTCTCATGATAGAAATTGCACTACGAGGTAAAAATACTCTCTCATCCCTTTTACAGTGCAAATATTTGTAATAAAAATAATATAAAATGAGCACTGTACACCTTGTATATCATGTTATATATTGACTCAGTGTGTGTGGAAATGTAGGAAAACAGCCAAAATATAATGAATTTTATTGATATTCTGTTGTTAAACAATGGAATTACAATTGTGATTAATCACAACTTTATCTAGTTAATTTATTTTGCATTAATTGATTGTATTAACATCAATTAATTAACAGCCCCAGTTGCAAGATGTATGTTATATATTTATTACTTCATAAATGTTCATTCTGCTTCAAAAGTTATAGAAACAGCATATTCTCTGCTCCAAAGAGCTTATAGTCCAACACGCAAGACACGTAATGCAAATGAGGCAAAACAACTTAAATTGTATTTTTGCCATGGTTCTTAATTCTAGAGGAGGCTAAGTTTCTGTAACAAAAGTTTATTCTGGTTAATTGGTTAAAATAGATTCTCCTTACTTTTGCTCTCCCATTCTCAAAAGGTATTCTCAGATTCAACAAGATTCTTATTAACTTCCTGTTTTAAACATTTATGTTGCAGAAGTGACGGCTGTTCAGTTGTGAGTAAAGTCATTCCTGTGTACTGTTTGTACAGTCAAGTGTTTAGGGTTTTGTTTAGATGGGAGGTGCGATATAAAAGTGAAATTGACATTGAGATCCGTAGGGGGGGGAAGGGGAAGGGGGAGAGGGAGAGATATGAAGTGGTCAGCCCCACTAGGGCTCTGTATATGGGAATTTGTCTTCGCCACTCCTGGGTTACATGGTTATAGCCCACTTGTTGATGTGGTATATTCGAAACGGAAAATGTTTCTATTTTTCATCATAGCTATTTGTTACAAGTCCCTGCTTTTAGTACCACCCGCTGTCTTTCTATTGTGTCTGTATGGCACCTAGCACAAGGGGGCCCTTGGCCATGACCAGCATTTCTTCCTTGCCGTGGTCACCAACCCGTCGATCGCGAAGCGTTCGGGCAACCCACCCCCCATTTTCCCCCCACCCCCGAGAAGCCCCACTACCTACCTCTAGTGTAGTGCCAGCTTCCCGCGGGGTGGACGGAAGTCCTCTCTGAAGCCCGCGTCACTTCTGGGAGTTCTGGAAGTGCGCGGGCTGCTCCCCCTCCCACAGCTCGGTTGTGTGCTGGGGGAGGAGGCGTTGGCCCTAGAGGAGGAGTGTGGAGGGTTCCCTGCCACGGCCGCGCTGGG